CTGAATCAAGTTTCTGATAAGCAAGCATTTTATTCCAACAATAGGCTAGAGAAGTTGAATAAGCATTGTGGAAAATGGCAACGGCAATCCCCTTTTGTGGTGTTGTCAAGAAAACATCATGGCCACATTCATAAGGGCTCCCAGAATTGAGCTTGACTTATTCTTTTTTTAAAAAACAAGGAATAGATGAATGGATGAAGAATAATTCCACTTGTTCCACTCCAAGCATGCTACCATGTTCCCTTCCAACTTCATCCCCCTTAATCTGTCAGGATAGAATTGTACACTATCTTCAAAAGCATCTCCCACTTTGCATATTCTGAGGTAGTGGTGACATCTCCTCTCTGTGTTACACAAGTCCCCAATGCTGATGGCTTTATGTGCTTTTTATGTGCTTTTAAATATTAACTTCTTTGTCTTATGCTGGATTGTTTCATTTTGTTTTTTCCTCTAGTTTTTATTTTGTTTCGAGAAATTATAAACCACTTCTGGATTCTTTGTAATGTGGTATGGAACTGGTTTGAATAAACAAATGGATCTATTATAGAGTCTTGCTCTGCCGAGTCCTTGGTGCTCTCTGAGCTTGGTTGTTTCCTTGCAGACATTTCATTACCCAACTAGGCAACATCATCAGTGCGAGTGAGTGTGGGGTTTGCTCCCTGTTTATATACAGTAACTTGCCCTGCCAGTGTTGGTGGAGATGTGGTTTTCTCTTTGATAGTTCCTTGATTAGGTTCTGCTTGACTGTTTGTCTGATGTTAATCTCTGTTTATCTGGGTGTTGGTTGCTGGAGAGGATATGTTCTGGTCTTTTTGTTTCCTTCTTAGCTTTTTTATTTTTTCTTTTGAATGGTGTGTAAATGTGGTTCAACTTTATTGATGGCTGATTTGTCTGAATGCCAAGCTTCCAGGAATTCCCTAGTGTTTTTGGATTTAGCCAAAGTTGAAACTATGGTCGAGTCTGTCCCTGTGTGGTGAGATTAAGGAGTTTTCATCATGTCTTCTGACTGCTAGTTGGTGTTCCTGGATGCACTCTGCTAGTCTTCTGCCTGTCTGTCCTACATAGTGGCTGTTACAGTCCTTACACTGTGTGTTGGATGACTCCTGTTTTCTTCTTCTTGGGCTACTAGGGCTTTTGGTTTACTTAAGATGCTTTGGAGGGCTTTAGTTGGTTTGTGTGCTACAGTGATGCTGTGTGGTTGTAACAGTCTGTTGGTTGTTTCTGAGATGTTTCTGATGTATGAAAGTATCATCCTTTTCATAGCTTGTGTTGGTTGTGCTGTAGCAGGTTGGTCAGGCACTTTTTGATAAAGTTGCGTGGGTATCCATTTTGTTAGAAGATGTTATATGGGCAGTCTGTTTCCTTTTTCTAGTGTTGTGGATTGCTGCAGTTTGTTCTTACACAGCTCCTCTTGTGGGAAGTTGGGTTGTTACTTTGGTAATGGAGCACTTGG